GAGGGAGGGGCAACCTCTTCCAAAGCACCTGAGGGCAGACAAGAAGCAATGGATGGAAACTAATCAAGGAGAGAAGCAACCTAGAACAACCTAGAACCTAAGCAGTGAGGACAATTAACCAGTGGAACAGTTTGCCATCAAAAGTTGTGGGTGGTTCATCACTCTTCTTCATTTTAAGAAGAGACTGGGCAGTCACTTGTCTGAAATGGTATAAGGTCTCCTGCTTCAGCAGGGGATTGGATTAGAAGACCTCCAAAGTCCCATCCAACTCTGTTATTCTGATTCCAGATAAGAGCTCTTTAGACTACTTCATAGAAACAAAAGTCTGAATCAAAAGTATGTTCATATCAGTCTAATGGTTTGTCTACATATAGAAATTTCTAGAGTAGTTTTAAATGTCAGGCTTGATTGCTGTTAATCTAGGAATAATGTCTATTGAATTCAATGACATTTATTTCTAAGTAATAGAATTTTATTGTTGGCTTGCAGTTCTATGTATCTACAAAGAAACTTCATGGAAGTATGTAATAAAGGCTGCATTTAAATAGACATGCATATACAAAAGAGCCAGTTTGTTTTAATGTTTAAGGCATTAGGCTACTAACTGGGAGAGTGAGTTCTAGTCTTCTTAGGCATGAAAGTTGGCTGGGTGACTTTGGACCAGTCACTCTGTCTCAACCCAACCCATGTCATAGGGTTATCGTTGTGGGGAAAATAGAAGGAGGGAAGAGTATTAGGTATATTCGTCACCTTGAATTTTTTGTTAAAAACAAAAAGGATAAAAAACAAAAAAGGTGCTTTAAATAAACAATGATGTTGATATATTAGCAGTACTGAATACATAAACTAGAATCTCAGAAACCATTAGTTTTATCTGCTTAAGTATTTTCTAGACATTTGTTGTGTATTCACCATCCTCACATAAAATAGAAAAGCATTTTTGAAATGGATTTTCAAAAGCATTTTTGGATGTGGCTTTGGAGATAACAGCTGCTGTTAAAACACACGCACACACACACCCATTGATCAAAGTTTAATTCTGAGGTCAAATGTATCTGAAATAGAAACCACCCTCCTCCAATATTTATACTTACATTTCCTATCACTTCAAATTTTAGAATGTTCTTTTAACCGAATCATTACAGGAAAACATTTCCACGCCAAAAAGCAATTTGGAAATAGAAGACAATCTAAGGTAGCAAACCTGTGGCTCTCTAGCTGCTACTGAATACAACTCCCAGTAGCCTCAGCTAGCATAAGAAATTGTGAAGAATTAGTAATTTGGCATGATAGAAAGGATTTTCGGGTTTCCCAGTTCTGGAAGTTTGTTAGGAACTTGATAAGTTTCCATATAAGTTTTTAAGGTACTTGAGTATCCTGGGAATGCTTAAACTTCATATATCCTGCCTTAAAATGTGAGATTAGGATCCATATCTGTTAAATTCCTTTCTCAGTATGGCTATGCTCACACTGTTTTTGCCATAGTTAAGGGAACCATCATTTATTAAATTAACCCAGTTTCTGAATTTCTGAATACATTAACCATTAACCTAGTTTCCTAGAGCACATAATATGGTCCATGTTCCATGATATGCCTGATCCATCCCAGCCACTAATCCAATCAAATTTCTTTACCGATGTTTCTGGAAATCATTGTAACTGGGTCAAAGGTCAGTTTAGGAGTTACCGGTAAATGCTGAAGGTTGAGATGGTGATGGCCATTTAAATTGCCTTCTATCTAATATTTCAAAGTAAAGATACATTAAATTTTGAGTAGCTGAATCTTTTCCAGAGACTGAGAGAGAATAGTGGGGAAACAAGAATTTCTGTGGAATAACTCTTAAAAGAAATATTGCTGTTACTAAGAAATAAAGACCCAGTTCCAATATCTAAAAATAAGCTCCTCAGTTTGAAAGGTGTCTTAGTTTGGATAGCAAGAAGAGCTAATCGCTTATATTCTCTAAGTATGTGGGCCAGCCTTGCTGTTTGCTTCTGGAAAAGCTGCTGCTGTCTAATGATTTAGGGAAGTGTTTATGTTTTCAGTTTTGTTATAAACATTGGTTGTACCTTAGAGCAATTCCCCATTTACCTGGCAATGTGCTTTCCTCCCCTTTCACAGTGGTTCCTTTTGCAGTACCTCAGAAATGATGCCATAAGAGTTGTATCGCTCAAGATGGACTCATTCTGGAGTGACAGGTTTACAAGTACTGAATAATAGTATACAATAACAACAATGGTTATCACAAGTGCTAGCTACTCACTTTCTGGGCTGACCTGATGCTACTACAGATAATTCTCCACTTATGACCATTTGTTTAGTGACTGTTTAAAGTTAAGATGATGCTGAAAAAAGCAACTTATGACCTGCACTTATGACCATTGCAATGTCTTCTTGGTCATGCAATTGTGATTTGGGTGCTTGGCAACCATCATGCATTTATGATGGTTGCAGCATCCCACAGTCATGTGTTCAGCATTTACAACCTCCCAAGTCAGTTTCCGATAAGCCAAGTCAATAGAGAAGCTGACAGGAAAGGTTGCAAGTTGTAGTCACATGATGGCCTCCATTATGACTGTAATGATTCCCTTAACAACCATGGCAAAAAGGGCTGTAAAATCAGGTGCAGTCACATGATGCCTCATTTAATGACTCCACCATTTCATGACAAATTTTCCAATCCCTATTGTGATTGTAAGTCAAGGACTTAAAGCAACCCCCTCCTCTCTGCTCCACTCTTTTATGGCCCTCAGTTTCTTGCAATGCTCACATAGATGTGGGTGCTTAGACTGGCTGTGGATGACCACAGCAGCTGTCCAGAGAAGGAATGGTGTTACCAAGAGGAGGAGGTAGGAAGGACATCAAGGTAGGACCCAGAACTAGGATAAACAGTATAACTTCCCCCCCCCCCCACAAATGGCAACATTAACCATGGAGAGTCTTCCAGGAGGTTGATATTCCTCTGAGAAAGCAAAAAGGACTTTAGTTTCCAGGGAGGCCCTGATCAATCTGGCAGCCAAATGAGAAGCAGCTGTGGAAGCACAGAGCCTCCTGGCAGGATAGGAGCAGGTAAATGGGAGCCATGCAGGTCACTAACCTCCCTCATGTATCATAAAATGTTTGCATAGAGGTAGGCATATTCATTTTCCAAATGAAAACATTGGTCTCCTGTTGATCTCTTTGATCTGCCTTAGTAACAGTCTGAGCCAAAGATGAAGGCCTTTTTAAAGCTATGTTGTCCACAAACTCTAAGCAACCTATTTTAGCACTGTGTTGTGGGTGAGCCCCAAGTGTCAAATGGTGTCCAACTGCTATTGCAAATCCCCTCTCTTTAAGGTTAGTGAAGAGTGAACTTCCATAAGCATGACTTTTTATCATAGAGAAAGCTGTTACTATAACAGCCAGTTTGGTGAAATGGTGAAGAAGCTGGGCTAGAAACCAGGAGGTGCTGAGTTCTAGTCCTCCCTTAGACAATAAAAGCCAGGTGGGTGACTTAGGGCCAGTCATTCTCTCAGTCCTATCTATCTCACAGGGCTGTTGTGGGGAAAGTAGGAAGTGTATTAGATGTGTTCACCACCTTGAGTTACAGTCTATATAAAAAAGATGGGATAAAAACATAATATCAAAATTCTCAAGCAACTTTTCAGCGTTTAAAACAGGGGAGCAAAGCCAAGTTGAAAACTTGCCTTTTTCATAACAAAGTGAGTTTCCTGGGCAAACCATTTTTTTCTGAGACATTTGTAAAACAGGAATAAAGATTTGCATATTACTTTGTCTGGTATTAGAATAAAGCTTATTTTGTGTTATTTTTATTAATGATAGTACAGTATGTAATTCTATTATAAGTAAGAACTAGGAAAGAAATCACATAAGCTGGATAATGAATCTTAAAATGTTGCTCAAAAAGCGTTAAGTGTTTACATGCTGTAACAAAAACATCAGAAAGTGTTGAATATCTTGAGGACTAGCAGTTTATATCATCAGATGCAAACTGCACTTGGGCAGGAGAATTAACTAATGATTTCCTTATGATTCCCACCATAATATAATCAGTTACTTCAGATTATTTTATGGTAGGGATCATAAGCAAATCATTAGTTGTATCAAGGAAATTCAATTAGAAGATTCTTGCTTTTGGGGATCTGGTATCAAAATACTTTGGTATATTATGCATCCTAACTTGTGTGGGTAATAAGGAAACAGCCATCATTTGCTTTTCTTCGGGCAATAATTTATTTTGGACTGGGCTGGTCATAAGGCTCATTAAAATATTCCTCTTTCAACATCACAGAGGCATCCTTAAGCTTTTGTTTTTTGCCCAGAGTAAACTGGATCAATCTATAATTACTTTCGATAAAGAAAAATGATAGTCCCTCTGCAAAGGAGCAACTGAACATGGAAACCAGTGGTTTCTGTACTAGTATATTTCACCTTCTGAAGACCACCGAGAAATCATTCAAGAAATGAAAACAAAATCTAACTCAGATGTGTTAAAACTTAATCAAGAATATGGGATTTTTGCTAAAACCATTCAATTATATAAAGCCAAATTTGGAAAACTTTTGTTAGCAACTTATCATAAAGGTACTGTGTTTCTTGCATTTCTTAGACTTTGGGATCCTGTAGTTCAACCCACAGGATTGTATGTGCATGGACACATTTGTTTCATTTGAGAATAGCACTCCCTTGATTAAGTGTGGAGGTGAGTTCTAGTTAGTCTTAAAAATTTTAATAGAAGAGATTATGTGTATATGAATTATATGAACTGTGGAGTTATTTGTGCTGTCTGAGTTTGGTTGTTTGCTTGCAGATGTTTCATTATCCAATCAAGTAACATCATTAGATAATGTTATCTAGCTGGGAAATGAAACTTCTGCAAGCAAACAAAACAACTGCAAGCAAACCATCAAATTCAAACACTAGGAACACTATAGTCTCTCTCAGTAACCCCTACTATTTTTCTGTATATCTGCACCAAATATGAATCAATGAACTACAGATAGAATTATAGCGTCATTATGCTATTTTGTTCTATATTCAGTATGGATCTCATCCCTGTAGGCAAGAGGATTATTAAACCAAACCAAAATTTCAGCATCAGTTTTCATAAAATATATTACATAATGGAAATAATTAAAAACAGTATTTCTATCCATTTGTTTGCCTCATTGTACTGCACATGGTTTAAATGTGTTTTTTCCACTTTTTATGTCTCTGGAATTCTTTCCTTATGCAATCTTGAAGATCCCAAACTCCACCCACCTCCCTTCTGGAAACTTTCATGCTATGACTTTTCATCACCAGATATCTTCCAAGAACCCTTTTCTGCTACACTGACTATTTTTGCAACTGGATGTACAAGCCTAGCCCTTCTATTAAGCACAGCATTATGGCTGTCCCAGGCAGATGTTGTGTGACAGGTAATGTCAGCAAGGAAAGAGAAGGCAGATTTTCCCTATTTTTGTTCTCCTATTAGTTGTCATATCTGCAAACCTCAGTTTGATAAAGGATAAATGATCTCCTGTGGCTAGCATTCATCTGCAGTCTGGTCAGTTTGTGTATCTAGGTCTTTTGGTATTTACCTAGAGTACCAAATGTCTTGTAAAAACTTGAGATCATGAAATGATGATGCAGTGCACTGTTGTTCCATTTGTTCCCCCCACTTCAGTTCATATGTTTAGTTTTCTAATGTAGCAATATTGCTTGGGAATGGAGATACCTCTTGTACTACCATTTCGTCCCTCCCATTATTAGTTCCAGTCTGAGTTGTGACACAGTTCTTCCCATTAAACCATATTGAATGTTTCTCTTTTTCTCTCTACCGAAGTATTGCTTTACAGCTTCAGAAAAAAGTGTAACAAATGGCAACCCCTTCCATTTGCCATTTGTCACCCCATTTGTATTTACTTTTCGGTTTCCTGTAAAAAAAAAAAAATCTTCAAGGTCCATTTCTTCAGCACCAAGGTATTTGAACTTCCTGTATTATGAAAAAAGAAATATAGATTTTTTTTTAGCTTTGTAGAGTTTGTATGGTACTATCTTACAAAAACAGTTTCATGTATATATTCAGTTTAAAATTTAAATATATGCAAAACTCATTCAAAGTACACGAGATTCAGTTTTATAACTGTATATTCATTCAGTGCAACAAATTTCCCACAATTAAAACATGGAGAAAAATCACACACATTGCTATAACATGTAGAATAGTACTAAAAAAAAAAAAATCAAAGCCCAACATCTTTGCCTTTTTTGAGCATATCTATATCAATTTTTGTACTTAAAAGGTGTCTGAGTTGAATGAGGACCTCATTAGTAGTTTCCATAAACAATACATACAGTTCTAATAAAAAGACAATTAGGTGTCCTGTTTATCACTATAGCCTACTGTTTTATCTTCCATTTATTTTGTAAAGGTTCCATGTTTTATAGTAAACTCAGCATATGGTGTAGGGAGAGCTACCATTTATATGGCTCAATATTAGCCACATACCACTTTAGGAATTACTTTCCATGCACATATTTGCCCCCAGGACAATTCTTAACAGAAGATAATGGCATAAAGCCAGGGTGGGAAACCAGGCCTTCCAAGAACACTGTTAGCCTCTATTTCTTTTCTTTTTTAAAAAAAATTGAAAAAGGAGAAGAGAAAGAGGCTTAGTTGCAAAATTCATGGAAATTATGGATCAGTACTTGTTTTTCTATACATCCGCTGTATAGTTATTGGGGCTGGTGTGGGGAACAAGCACCAATGAACTAGTATAGTACTAGATTACTTCTATGTGGATTTGTGGGGAGCAACAGGAACAATTGCGTAAGTTATAATGCAATAATGGAACTAGACAGGCCAAGCAAGCATGCATGAAAAGGGGATGCATTGGTTTTAAGGACAATATGTCTTAGATTTTTGGTACAATTCAATATAGTTTGGATTTTACTATTCAATATTTGTTTAAATCACCCTTTAAAACCTGCAGCAGATGCACCTTCTCCCTCCTACTTTTCTCTACTAATCAGACAGAATAGTGGTCACATTCTCCTCTATTGCAGGTTGTTTGCAGAAACAATAGAACAGGTGAGAATTTCCAGGAATATAAAAGGGAAGGGGTTATAGTAGGGTGACTAATTCCATGATGGAACAAACAACTCTTACTGTATTTCAATCTTCTCTATCTTTTGTTCACACTTTGAAGTAAAGTCTTTGAAAAAGAGAACTCCAGGTACTTTTATGACAGTTCTACCTGAAATGATAGGATTCTCTGAGAATGTGGCTCCCTGAGACAGGCTTCTCCAGTAAGATAAATTTGGGAAGAATGGTTGAAAGGCCATAGTATAATTTGCCATTTTCACCTCTAGGCATACATATTAAGTCATGCTGGGAAAAATTGATATTCTAATTACAAATTATTACAGACACCCTTGGATTTGAACAGATGCCCAAAGTGAATTTTTGAAATTCAGAACTATTTTAGAATGTGTTTTCTGGTCCAGAAGTTCACATCTTCGGATGATTACTTGTGAATTACTTTAGAAAGGTTATGACTTAATATGCCAACATGGGAATTTTTTTCTGCTTTTGAAGGAAAATATATCTCCCCTCAAAGCAGGAGGCAGAGGTTTGATACTTTGGTTTTAAAAAAGTACCACTTGTGTGCCTTCTTCTTTCTGTTTTTCTACTATGCCAACTGAAAGCAGTCATTAAGGAACAAGACTGTTATTATTATTACCAAGGGAAACAACGAAACCCATTATCATCATGAGGCCTCACATTCACTGGCAAGGAAGACTCACAGAGCACTTACAAGCTGGCCAAGGACCATTAATAGCTACTACTCAGTATAGTAGCATGCATTGTTGATACCATCCTGATCTGTATTGGCTTCCGGATGCTTTTTAGTCTAGATCAGAGAAAGCCCACATGGAACAAGAGATGAAATGCTTCTTAGATCATAAAGAAAAAACTAAAATATTGCACAGACTCATCCTTTTGGGCAATTATTAAATTCTGCTGAAAGCTAATTGTGCAGCTCTTCCTAAAGATGCTGAGGGTATAAATTTAAAAGAAAGGCAGCCCTTTCGTCCAGTACTACAATTAGTTCAAGGTATGAGACTGTCAGCCCTGGAGGCCATCTTTTTCTTTGGATCTTTCGGGCTGCCCCACTTAGTGCTGTGTGAAACTGGGAAGGGGGATTGCATGGAGTAGCAGGGATATCTAGCCATAGTAACATTCTTTTCTTTGAGAGTCAAGGACATCCAGCCTGCACCTGGAATGGTGTGACTGGGAGGCATCTCCATTTGGGATGGTGCATTGATTGGACCATGTGATGGACATGTGAGTGCAAGGGGAAGGAACTTGGACTTTCTTTTGGGTGGGGAAAACCTGGAAGTGTTCAGATTTGGGTATTCCCAGATGTGCCAATATGACATCTTTAATAAAATGGAACTTTGAGGAACTTCTAGCCTCGGAGTCTTCTTTCGTTGGGGTTGTTACTTGGAACCCTGACAGAGACTGCCAAAAGAACAGTGTCAAATGCCCCACCCTATCATAGTAGAGATACAAGGCTAGTCATGAGATTCTAATTCTAAGGGAGAAAAAAACAACAGCACTTCTTCTCTTCTGATTAAAGGGATGATTGGACCTAGACTTTGAGCATAACCATTAAGAAGAATGAGATGTAGGTATTTATTTCAGTGATTTTACTGGAAGTACGATAATTTGGATCCATATCAATGCTAAAAAAATTAACAATTACAAATTTGTTGCCTTTTCATCATATTCAGACTGCTGCTTGACATTTGTTTCTTAATGCTCAAAGATAGGGGGAACCTCTCCATTGCCAGGATTACACAGAGAATCTTAATTTCCATCATGTTTCATCCCACAGAATCCAGCTCTTTCAGGGCAGAGGTTAGAAGAGAGAATTTTCAGTTTAGGTTTGCAAGGCCACATGGGGAGAAAAGGACAGTTTCCATCAAAAAGTCAGTATGCCTTAGACTGTGTCCTGCAGTAGCTCACAAAAAAAGTGAGTATTTTGGGCAACTGGGGTGCATTGTGAGATTTATTTTACTGAAAACGAAGTAGGAAAGTAATATCTTGGTTAAGAAGAACTGGTTTAAAAATCAGATACATTTTTTAAAAAGACCAGAAATAATTAGCATTAACAGTGTAGCAAAGTGCTTTATAGTCCAATCATCTACAATGTTAAGTACTCCCGGTAAATCATTCGCTGTTTTACAGAACTCTACCCAGAATTACAGTCCCACACTGCAACACATAAATAAAAAATCTTTGCCAAATGCCTGATATTGAGACAATGAATACTTGCACAGTTAAAAAAAAACATTCAGTTTGTTCATCTTTCCTCAAAAGAGAAGTTCTATAAAGCCCCATGAAATAGGTGACGATTTCTGCCTATCTCTATGCCACCCTGTACAAACTTAGCAGAAGTCTGATTCCCAGATCTTTTGCAGCTTAGAACCTTGATAGAGAATTCCAAACTGGAGGAGAATAGAAGGTGATTGATTCATGGAAAGGACGGCTTGACTTGATCCTCACCTTCCAGCCCCTGCCTTCACTGGCCCACTACCTATACCAAATTTCTTGAACACCAACCGACCCTATTAGGAATGATCTCCCTTGACCTGTTAGGGAGGATCTCCTGAGTCTGGGCTGAGCAGGATCATCTGCACCACGACTGGAAGCTCTCCATTGCCTAAGAAGACAGGTATTTCCCATTATTGGGTATTTGGAAACCGTCCCCCCCCCCCCCAACTTCTTAATGTAAGCTGTGTCTCTCCGGTATGAAAGGGGGAAACGGGGTTTGGTTTTGGGGGAGGGGTCTCTAACTCACCTCTACCTCAGGGTCTTTCCTCTCCCTCGCTTCACTCCTATCCGACTCCGGGTTCTAGGCAGGACGAAGCAGGCTCCAAACGGCCCCTGCCTGAGCCCTTCAAAGTTGGAAGTGCTGAAGACCAAGCCGGGCCAGCAGCAACCCAGGTCGCGCGCGCCAAGGCTCCCGGGGCCCCTATTGGCCGGCGGACAAGCACGTGCCAGCCCTCCTGGCTGTATATTAGGACAATAGTTGCCTCCCGGCCGACTTTCTTGGGGGCTGAGAAGAGGAGGAGGAGGGGGGGGGGGCAGCAGCAGCAGCAGAAGCTGGTGCTGGAGCAGGTAGAGGAGGAGAAAGGGAGGGGAGAGACGGGTGCCGCTGCCCCTTCGCACTCCTGCCTGCCGCGGTGCCTTTCTCGACGTGCCTTCCTCTCCTTCCTCAGTGGGGCGAGGGGGACGGACCATGAACTCTTTCCTGGAGTACCTGTCGCGGGGCGGGGACAGCTTGAGTTTAGCCGGGAAGTTTAGCAGCGCAGAGCCCGGCAGCGTGGCTTTGCGGCCGCCCTGCGCCCTGTCAGCCGGCGGGGACGGCGCTTACCCGGGTCCTCCCGCGGGAAGCTTGCCGGACTTCTCCAAGCGCTTGGCGCCTCACCCGCAGGCGCCCCGGTTCCAGCCGCCACAGCTGGCGCCCTGCGCGCTTACCGGCTCGCACGTTTTCCCCTCGGCCGAGTTCAACCTGCTCCGTCCCGAGGCGCCTTACGCGGGCCCGGAGGAGAGCGCTCCGCTGCATTACGCCACGTCCATTTTCCCCGGCGGCGGCGGCGGTGGCGGTGGCGGCGGCGCCTACCTGCAAATGGATTACACCGCGCTGGCCGAGACTTTTCAGCCTTGCCTCAAGGATGCGCCGCTGCGGCCGCCGCCCCCGGACTTCTGCCCCAAGGCCGGCGGCCAAGCGGCGGTCAGCACTTTCGAGTGGATGAAAGTCAAGAGGAACGCACCCCCTAAAAGTAAGTGCGGGGCTTCGTCAGCGCGTGCCCGGTGGGTGTGTGGTTGGTCTTGGGGAAAAAACCAAAAACAAACCGGTCCTCGGCTCCTTCGATGCCTGAATTGTTGCTGCTGTGTAGTTGTCCAAACGCGAATACTTTTTTAAAAAAGGTTTTTCATTGTACAAACAGCCTCGCAGGGCTTTTTTTTTTTTAAAATTAAAAAAAAAAAAACTTATCTAGTGCTCTATGCTGACCTCGCCACGAAAGTCATTAGAATAGTCGCTTTCAATGCTGAAAGCGACTATTCTGGAAACTCTCTAAAATGGGCTGGATTTAATACATTTCATTCGTTTCGATCCTCTTTATCTACTGTAATCCAGATGGAAACATTGTGTGCTTCCCCCAAGGGCTCCATACATAACCTTGAATTAGAGAGGAACGTGGCAAAAGTCCCCCCCCCAAAGTGTAATCCTGATGATCTAATCCGAAAAATTTGCATATTTTATGACTGTCCATAACAGTTCAATCTTTTCAACCAATGCTTATTGTTTTCAGGTAAAGCCACAGCTTGTGGGTCTTCCAGTTTTCCTAGTGTGGTAAGAACCAATTTCAGCACTAAGCAACTGACCGAATTGGAAAAAGAGTTCCATTTCAATAAGTACCTCACCAGAGCCCGGCGTGTGGAAATAGCGAAGTCTCTGGGCCTCAATGACACTCAAGTGAAAATCTGGTTCCAAAATCGGAGGATGAAGCAGAAGAAAAGAGAAAGGGAAGGAATAGTGGTTCCTGGAGTACCTACTCAAGTCTCTCCTTCAGTATCCAGCCCCAGACATTCAGGGATGTGCTCTGTGGCCCCTTCTCCTACCAAAAATTCACCTTAATACTATGGCATTATGACAACACTGAGAATGGATACAGATGCATGATACTGAAAAGACTCAAAAACTTCAAAAGCAAAATCAGACTGCTCTGTAAAGTGTGAACTCATGCAAATTTGAATTCAAGGTACAAAAGAAGACAATGATTGCACTAAGTTTTACGCTGACCGTGGAAAAGTCCATTGTATAGAATGAAAACCTGCTGCTTTACACAGAACTGATTCAAGGCACAAAAGGCATATGATGATATGTTTACATTTTATTTATATGTATTTTCAGGGAAAGCTGCTTTCACCTTCTATATGCTGCTAAACTTTGTTGCTGGCCTGGCTGAATTTATTTACAGGCTAATATTACATTTGTTTACTTAAAAAAGGAAACCCCTTAAGACTGATGTGGGGGATTCTACTAATAAAACCAAAGATAAGGAATAACTCATGGATGGAATCTACTCTGCACTGATTTTAAATCTATTTCAATCTAATCAACCTGTGTTTTTTAATTTGAATATTGAATATTAATTTGAACGGGTTCCACTAGGTCTTCTCCATACTCCTTCTTTGAGGTATGTGTATGGAAACAAAAACATTAGCCATCAGGGATGTTTTGATTCCTTTTTGTTTCTGGGACTCAAGCAGTGATTCTTCTTAACAAAGATTCTTGTCAGAAAGTTCTGCCAGTAGACTGATTTAAAATACTTTGGTTTAAAAGTTGGGTGAGGGAGAAAGAGAAACAAATGGGTTTAGATTATTATTTATTGCACTGATATATACCAAGATAAAGTGTAATAGGTTAACACAATTCCAAACCAAAGGATGCCCTGCTTTTTTTTTTTTTTTGCTTCATCAATTTGTTCTCTGGTTCTGCATTAACTAGCTTCTGTTTTGTTTCCAAATGGGTTCTTTAAAAATACATAGGCATGCATACAAATAGCATAGTCCAGTGATCACTCTACACACTGTATGTTTTTAAAGTTCTATTTTAATTTTGAACAGCAGAAACTATTCATAGTAGTCATGTTCATAGTTGAAAATTGAATTGTAATTCTGAGAGAATTTCTGTCACATGGGAATAACAAGCATTGGTAAAGGAAGAAAGGCAATTTCCTCAGGGCCTGGTGGCTCAGCAGACTGATAGCATTGTGATTAACACCAGCTGTCTGCAATTACTGTAAGTTTGAATCTCACCAGGCTCAAGGTTGACTCAGCCTTCCATCCTTTCTAAGGTAGGTAAATTGAGGACCCAGTTTGTGGGGGCAATAAGCTGACTTTGTATAAATATACAAAAGTATGAAGGCTATTGCTTAAGGCATTGTAAGCCGCCCTGAGTCTCCGGAGAAGGGTGGCATATAAATCAATTTTTTTTAAAAAAAGAAGAAGAAAAAGTTAATGAAAATTCCAGAGTCAGAGTAAAGTCCTTCTGGTTTCAGTAATGGACAGCTATCCAATTCTTTATCAGATTTCTGAAAGTCCCCTTTTCTGACAATTTTTTTTCTTTTTTAGTAAACCCTTGAAATTCTTCTTATTCTGAGAAAAAATTAACAGTATGAATATGGTGAGAGAAATATCTGGCAGTTAAATCAAATGTCCCATGTTCATCCTTTGAGGGAAGAAGAACGGAGATGATAGGGAAGTGGAGGAAGCACTATGTCTCAGGAAATGAATGTAAATAGAAAGTTGCCCTTTATTCTTGTGTGAACCACATATGACGAACATTATAATTTTAACAGAAGTACAATTTATAAATAAATTTTGAGAACTATTAACATGCTGTCTCCATTACGTATGTGGCAATCTTGGTTTTTAATTTCATGCTAATCAGCGATTTGAAAAAAGAGAGAGCCCTCTGAGGCTTTTGATATTTCAAAAAGTCTCCAGGCTCCCATTCCAGAGTTCTTCTGAGGAACATGATGTGTTGCTAGAAGAGAGCTTACAGCTGCAAACAAAGAAGAAAAACAAGTTATAACAGCCCAACCCAGAATTCATGTAAGGAAGCCCTTGGGCACTGAAGCTAATTAAACCCATTACCAAATAGTCAAAATAAATCATAACTCAAAGACTTAACTGGAACAGAAGTACATCCGTTAAGCAAACTGGAATTGTCATTGACTTGTAAGTAGAAACGAATTGGTCAAAGATTAGAGTGCTAACTTTTTTGTCGAAGATGTACATTATAAGAGATATCAGATTGCTGTACTTGACAGAAGTATATCTGAACTCTTCCTGCCCTGTAATATCATGGTTATAGTCAGGTCAATATCTTAGTGGGCTCACTTAAACAGTTATACTTTCCAGAGCAGAAACTGAGGGCTACTTTTTCTCCAGTGGGAAAAAAAAGTCTTCAATAGTCTTAAAAATGACCATAAGTGTTAGACAGAGTGGATTGTATATTCCATTGTATTCGGAAAAGTTTTGTATTATCTGATTATTGCTTACATTATTTTTGACTTTACACTTATGCAGTATGATTCCAGGTTTATATAGAAGTCTGCCTCAGTGTGTTCATGAGCTGGGCTACCAATTTGGGCTGCAATTCTGTATACTAGAGAGTAAGATCTTTGGCCTCTAGCGAGACTTATTTCTGTAACCATGCATAGTTTCTTTGATCAAACAGGAATGTCAATACAGGTCTTTTTAAAACCCCTTTGCTTTCTTGTTTCCTCCTTTGACCCTTTCCAATAAAATCTATTTGATGTTTTAGACCATTGGAAGTCATCAGCAAGACAATGCTCTGTTTGAATAAAAATGTCAAAAGAAATGTGGTAGGGAGTGTTTTATTAATGTAAAGCTTGGAAGAAGGTTTCCATCACATTGGGAGATGTGATACATATGATGCTGTTTTCCTCCCATGATAGATCTTAAAGGAAGAAGACCGGGTCAAAAAGAATTCATGTTAGGAAAAAATGGGAGGTTTTTGAGTTCTTCCTATACTTCTTCATCTCTCTCTCTCTCTCTCTCTCTCCTTCTACCTCTCCGTCCCCCTCCCCCCTCTCATCCATCCATCCATCTCTCTCTCTATACACACACACACACACACACACACACTGTGTTTTTACACATATATAAACACACACACACACACACTTTATTGAAGTTCTACAAAATATAAAATATAAGGAAAAAAAGCTGCAGTTCAAGCACCTGAGAGGCATTTCTAAGCATGTCATAAAAAGGAGATCACAATCCTATGCATATTTCCTTGGGAGTAAATCCCACAAAACCTAATGAGATTAATTTATTCTAGGTACTTTGAAGTGGCTAAGAAAAGGAAAGGTCTTATGACATTATAAAAGCAATTTATTTGAGCATACATTTTTGTGTTTTGCGGCTCACTTATTCAGATATAAAGTAAAGGGAGAAGTAAGTAGGGAGGGAAGGAATGAAAATAGTTAACTGGAACCTTTGAAGTGAGTGTTTTTAGTGAAATTTTATATTGCTTAGCTCGAGGGCCCTTTTACAACTGAATTTTTGTCTTTGAGTTTATTGGTACTCATTCTATAGATAAGTCAAAAGAATTTAGTGGCTGAAATAGACATTTAGGATAATTTATTACCTTAATACCACTGCTCAGCTTTCGGAGAGTTTTACAGTATGTTTGAGTTGATCCTGTTAGATTTGAAGAGTTGAAATAATTTTTATACAAATGATAAGCCACCATGGACTCTATTGAACTAAGCTAAAATTGGGAAAATAATATCATAGATTGATATTACATGTGAACTTAGGTTCTGAACACTCACATAAGTATAAGAGACTGAGTAAAGATTCAAACAGTGATAGCCCTAGGTAGCTAGATACAGGATGGCACATTTGCTTATAATAATATGGAAGTATTTAAGGCAGTGGTTCTCAACCTGTGGTCCGCGGATCCCGGGGGGTGGGGCTTGATGTCATCACAGGGGATTTGCAAAGGTTTGAAGAAATGCTATGATTTAAATTGTGAGTTAAGTCTTGGGGGCTTATGGCCATGGTCCGTGTCCACAAAAGGTATTTAAAGAGGGTCCATGGTGAAGGAAAGGTTGGAAACCACTGTTTTAAGGTATTATTCCTATTCACATTTCTTAATAGGATTATCTTCTGAGTAAAAATGCATATATCGGTAGTTATATTAAATGATATTACTCTCTCTTTGACCTGTTGCCCAAAGTTATTACAATGGTGCTGAACAAGGAGCTTATGGCTAGTTCTTGTGGCCATTGCAGTGACCTTATGGATATGTGATTGCAATTCAGGTGCCTAGCAACTGGATCATCGTTATAATGGTCACAGCATTCTGTAGTCAAGTGATTATCATTTATGACCTTTATTGCTGGCTTCCGACAAACAAAGTCAGTGGAAAGCTGGCAGGAGGTGACCAATGGTGATGATGTCACACTTAACTACAAGGGAGTTGATTAACCACAGCAAGCAGAATTGCTACCACTGCAGTCATGAATGTGATCACATGACATCATGTTTTATTACTGCATTGCTTAGCGACAGAAATGCAGTTCCCACCATCATCACCAAGCGAGGACTATTTCCTTTTGGTTTGTGGTCCCGAAACACTTTCCGTCTCCTCTAATTGCACATTTATTCAGTTGCAGTTGCAGTAACAGTTTTTTTCCCTCCTGGGTTCCTATTTGCCTTCCTTCCCTCCCCTTGTCCTCTGAAACTTACTAAACTTTCCCATGTGTTAAACTAGAACCACCAAGAATGTCCAGCTAGCATAGTCATAAGACTTTTCGAAAGGCCAATCACTTTCTCTCACCTTTAGGAAACAGGCAAGGGCAAATCACTTTCAAAATCTTGCCAAGAGAACTTCAAGGACTGGTTCAGGCAGTTGTCAGGAGTCAACAAAAAGACTAGACTAGACTAGACTAGACTAGACTAGACTAGACTAGAATAGAATAGAATAGAATAGAATAGAATAGAATAGAATAGAATAATTTTATTGTCACTTCGAATACACACTAATCGGCATACATTAAAATGAAATTTTGTTGCATACAGCTCTCAAAGGATCACCACCTCCAATATACTATTCTACTAACTTGAAGGCACACACTTTTTTTTGACTGAAAATATTCCCCACTCAACATAATGTTCATTCCTAGAACCAAGCATCTCTATTAACTCCATGTTATAGTTTGGAGGAGAGCTAGAGAACAATCGTCTGTCCAGGACCTCCTAATGAACAGAAGCTGAGCCTTATGGCATACTTATCTTTACTAATACCATATGTTTTCCAGAAAAAACAGATATATATGCTGACTTTGTAGGGTACTGCTCAATATCTATATAGTGGCAAAGTCCCAAAGTTGAGACTGATTCCAAGCCCTGCAACTTTTCACCGAGAAGAGATAAGGGAAGAGACACATTTTTTATGATGAACATTTCTTATTCAGGGTAATTTTCTTCCCATGTGAAAGAGGCAATTAAATGAGGCCTTATTTCCTGATGAACAACCTGAAGAGTGTAAGTGTTAGCTACTGCTCCTTTGCATTATTCTGTCAGCAAGGGGGCCCAGAGGAATGAGATAATGCAACTCATATGCCAATTCCTGAATAATTAAATAAAAATGTCTGTAATATATATGGGCATACACATGAGACAAATAAATGATAGATAAGGTCTAGCATCCATTCATACAACATTACGCACAGCAGTTGGGTGCCACATATGTTCAGCGGATGCCAAACAATTGGAAACAGGTTGTAGGTTATGCTGGAAGGAATTAAAGCATGGTTCGGTATTCTCCCTGGAATTAGGACAGAGAGAAAAAGGTTTCCACCTTTATTCTTAACACTCATTTTAATACTTATGGTTATTCATCTATAATACTTAATTGTTTGATTTTATCACCTTTAACCCCTACATTATTCTTGGAAGCTATTTGAATCTTAGAGTATGTTATATTTTACCTGGGTATTTCAAAAATATACAGAATCATAGACATTTCAGAGAAGAACAGGCACAACGTGATCACAGGGGATGTTTACAGCTGCTAGACAACTTACTAAACAATTTAGCAATTAGATTAAGGGCAGCATTGTATAAATAATAAACAGCTCCATAGAACAGTGCATTCCATTAATTGTGATAGAATAGGCCAAGCACTGCTTCCCCCAACTTTTTATTAGCAATTTCAATGCTTATCGTTCTAAACAAGGCCACCCCAGAAGAAGGCTGTGCTTTATTATACATTCAAGATGCAACAACATTTATTTAGTTATTTATTTGTCAAACATGTACAAGATAGCAGGTATGAATATGAACATGGACATGAATGAAGAAAATTAATACAAATAAATGGGGACATTAGGACAGGGATGGTAGGCACGCTGGTGTGCTTATGCACACCCCCTTTACGGACCTCTTAGGAACAGGGTGAGGTCCATTGTAGACAATTTAAGGTTGAAGCTGTGAGGGTTTGAGGATGTAACAACAGAGTCGGGTAGAGCATTCCAGGCATTGACCACTCTGTTGCTGAAGTCGTATTTTCTGCAATCGAGTTTAGAGCAGTTTATCTTGAGTTTGTATCGATTGTTTGCCCGTGTATTATTGAGGTTGAAGCTGAAGAAGTCATTGACAGGAAAGACATTGTAGCAGACAATTTTGTGTGCTATGCTTAGATCAGACCACAGGTGGCGCAGTTCCAGATTGTCCAAGCTCAAAATTTCAAACCTGGTGGCATAAGGGATTCTATTGTGAGTAGAGGAGTAGAGTACTCTTCTCGTGAAATACCTCTGGACCCACTCAATTGTATTAATGTCTGATATACAGTGTGGATTCCAGGCAGACAAGCTGTATTTGAGAATCGGTCTGGTAAAGGTTTTGTATTCCCTAATTAGCAATACAATGTTACTGGAGAAGAAGCTTCACAAAATTAGGTTAACAATTCTTAATGCCTTTTTGGCAGTGCTGTTACAGTGAGCTCTGGGGCTTAGATCATTTGAGATAAGTACTCCTAGGCAGGGGTGAAATGTAAAATTTGTTACTACAGGTTCTGTGGGTGTGGCTTGGTCTGTGGGGGTAATGTGACTGGGTGGGCGTGGCCAACTTTTTTTTTTAACTTTTCAAAGCATTTTTTCTGCAAATGCAAAAAAATGCTTTGAAAAGCCTCTGCCGATCAGGAACACAGCTGGGATCGTCAGAGCCTTTTCAAAGCATTTTTAAACTACCTCTTCCGCTGAAGAGGTTGCAGAAAAAAATGCTTTAAAAGTCTCTCTGATGATCCCAGCTGAGTTGCCTGATCGTTTTAAAAAATGCTTTGAAAAGTCTCTCTGAAGATCAGGCAACTCAACTGGGATTGTCAGAGAGATTTTTAAAGCATTTTTTTCTGCAACCTCTTCCGGGGCAGAGGTGGTTAAAAAAATGCTTTGAAAAGCCTCTGACATCCCAGCTGAGCTGCGCGATCATCAGAGGCTTTTTTTTTTACTTTTAAAAGCATTTTTTTGGCGGAAGACGTTGTAGAAAAAATGCTTTTAAAAGTAAAAAAAAAGCCTCTGATGATCATGCGGCTCAGCTGGGCATGGGGGGGCGCAGGAATTTTTGCTATGGTTCTCCAAACCACCCGCCACCATTGCTACAGGATCGGGTGATCCGGTCCGAACCGGGAGCATTTCACCCCTGTTCCTAGGCACTCCTAGGTAACTTGAACCTCTTTTCCCAACCAATGGAGGTGGCCTCAAAATATCCTGGAAGAACTGTAGACAAATTATTCTTTTCACTCTGATAGAAGAGGTAAATTATTACATGAATATATATGTG